CCCGCCCAGGTACCGGCGCTGAGACACCGGCCAGGCACGGCCGTCCCTGGCTGGCACTGCCTGTCCCCACCTCAGGAGCTAGCGTAGTGCCGTGAAATACAGATGCAGACATGGACACGTGAAAAAATATCTTGGAAAACATCAAAACAGATTTGAAGACATTAAATGATCGCTATTATGAACAACTGGCTTCTAAATATCATAGGTTATCAACACCCAGAGAGAAACTGCAAGCTGTGAATGGGAAAACGGGTAAATTACTAAGACTGGAGAGTCCTGCAGGCTCCCTGGGGTCTGGTCTTAACTTTTCTCTCAAAATAAGGAAAACGTTTTGGAAGCAGCTTTTTTTCCCCCCCTTTTTTTTCTTTTTTTCTTTCTTTTTTCCCCTTAAGAGCTGCCTTGTAACAAGACTGCAGAAAAGCACACGAGTTCCTACCAGTCTGGCCACTGGGTTTTTGGCACACCGTGTACTCGGCGGAGGAGGCCCCGCAGTTGGTTACGGGGTACGAGGGGTAGCACAGGAATGGGAGCTCTGGCACCTACCGCTGAGCTCCTTAAAACTTGTTGCAAAATGAGGATAAGGGATTACATCGCAGGCTTCCTTTTTTAATCTAGCCCTTCCCTGAGGATCGTCAGTAGTGTTTATTGCATGGAAAAAAAATCTAAAAAAAGCCGAACTGCGCGTTCCCAGCCAACAGACCTATTGCCATGGGAACGTGTGCGCGCTGCAGCACTACGGCAAAAACCTGGCGGGGGAGAGCTGCCGGCCACACGCTGGACTTCCCCATGGTATTTCTAACACAGCCTGTTTCAGTCAGTATGAAAATTTCCATTAGTAGCTTTAGAAAGATACCGAGTTTGAGTGCTTGTACAGTCAGCGTGGGAGAACATTTGGGAGTGCTGAGTAGCCTGAAGAAAGGAAACCATCTGCATTCCGGGACTGTGCTTGCCTGGATCAAAATTCATTCACACACGTGAAAGTGAGCCCACATGTGGAATTCACCTCGGGATGAACTGTCACCTGCCTCCAGCACTTGCCATATAATCATATTTAGTAAAAAAAATTAAATAAATACCGTAATTATGTGCAAAGCACGCACATAACCTGGTACCCGACCTGCAAACCGGGTTGTACGCGATTGTGTCTGTGAGGTTACAGGAGACCTTCCAGGAAAGACAGAAGGTGCAAGTGATTTTGAGGGACTAATGTAAAAATCCTAAGTAGTCCCATTAAAGTAATTTTAGTTGCTCATAATCCTAGTGCTAGCTAAACATCATTTCAGCCAATTTGAATAAAAATAATGCCAAAACCAAAACATTTGGTATTTTGGGGGCAGTGGGGGTTGATGTTAAAGCTTCGCTACTGCATGTTTCAGCCGGGAGTCCGAACTCTCCCCCCCAAGCCGCTTTCTAGGGTCGGTGGGAGTTTCGGCTAAGTTAAGGACTTAAATGTGACATTCCACCGCGCTAACTTAATTTTATTGTAATTTCCTTTTCATTATAACCCGTTAATGAAAGCACTCAGCAATCCTGAAATACAGTTCTGCACACAGCCCTGACTGATTATGCCACTGTGCTTTAGATCTAATAAACTCAGCAGGCAGAAAAACAACCGAGCACAAAATACGGTATTAACAGGCACTAAAGCTCACTTGCTTTTTGCAGTTTACCAATTTTTACCTGTAAATTGTTATCTTGGTTCTAGGCCCTAAGGCCGAGCCCTCGTCATCCTTCCTGTATCTGCAACTCCCTACCACATTTTTGGTGCTACGTATGTAATATGTATTTTTAACACTGCCACACGTCTCAGGAGCCTGTCTTGCCGTTTTGCTTGCAGAGGGGGCGGGATGGGTGCGCCGTGTTCTGTATGATGACATCAGGCAGTGTTACAGCACGATTCAAAGCTGCCGTAGTCATTTACTCCATTTTCCTGCCCGAAGCAGAGTCACAGGAAGGATTTCTGAGCTGGGGAGCTGTGCTGTCACGAAATGCCTACGGGGTGTGTAACAACAGACGTGCTGGTATACGCTGCATCGCCGTGTGGGTGCGTGTGTGGTCACACTCAGAAGAGTGATTCTCTGCATGAAAAGACAAAGGCAGCTCCACAGAGGAACTTAGGTGCATAAATGCCTATTAAGGGACCTACCGCCCGTTCAACATAATTAACTAAAAGCTACGTAGGTGTCTACAATTTTCTGAACGTGATGTTGAATAAACCCTTATTTCTTTTTTTAAAGGGCAATGAGGACTTAAGAACGGAAATTTTGGTCTCTGAAATGCCATGAATGTTAGAAAAGTTTCAGATGGGCTCTGCCAGAGCCTGTGTGATTTGATAGCACGTTATGAAATTGCACCCGTGTGATAGAAAACTGAAAACTGAAAAAATTGAACAAATAACAATCCAAAACCAAATCATGTGAATTCAGTAAGCTTTTTCAGCTTGTGGTATCAAGAAGATTTTAATATACTGAAAAGTATTAATTCTTTAAATTTATGTTCTGAATATCATCAAATAATTTATTCAAATTGTAAATTTGAGGATTAGCATCAGCTACGGCTCACTGTGGTATCTGGTGGCGTGTTGCCACTCCAGTGGTACAGAAGCTCTTCCAGCAGGAACGCTTGCATGGATAAAGTAAAATTTGTGTGATGTGGGAACCGGCTCAGTCAGCTTGGAATTCATGTTTCATTAATATTTATACTAATAAACTTAATCGTTCCTGTTGATTGAGGAGAAAAAGGGAGATGCGAACAACCAGAGAATAGGGAACTTACAAGCAAATGTGGAAGTGTCGCTTTCCAAATGATTGCTAAAGAAATCCCTTAGCGCAGCCGAGCCCAGGGCTGCAGCTCTGCGCTGACCCAGCACGCTGCCTTCAGTGCCACAGCCCGGCCAGACTCCGCTTCTCAACAGCTGCCATGCAGTTGGGGGGGGGGGGGGGGGGGGGGGGCGGGGGGGGGGGGGGGGGGGGCAAAAAAAATTTAAACAATTAAAAAGCTGGTGCTTCATAATAACATGAGGGGATAGTTCCTACTGTACTAACTGATTTGTAATTTAATGTTTGGGGGGGTGTACTTTATCTCTCCTTTGCTATGTGCACAGGTGGTCTTCGTAATACCACCCTCTCCCAACACCCGAACCCAAAGCCATTGCTAGGCATTTAGTAACCTGAGCAGATTTCTCTTCCGTGAATTTGTCCGGTTTGCCTCGAGCCTGGTGTCAGCCCCTCGCACACCAAACCGCCTGTGCAGGAGCTCCGAGAACTGGTGTATTTCGGTGATGTCAGGGACACATTGGCTAACAGGAATGCTGACAGCACCTTTCGTAGTTCAGGCCTTCCACTTACTGTACACAGGACTGCAGCAAAACTCCACAAAGTGTGTTCATACCTCTGTGGGAGGAATACTAGGTCCATATAGCAGACAGGGCTTACACGTAACGGCAGTACCGTCTTTTGAAGTTCAGTTTAATCTGAAGTATAATTACCTCAGTCAGTGTGCTGAGGTAATGGGAAGAGGAGAAAGGTTTAAGACTTTCTAGAGGCTCTCGCAAGCAAAAAAGTAAAATGCTCCTAGCCGTGCCCATGTGCTACAGCTACATTCCTCTGACTTGGGTTTTTCAGGGTGTTGCTAATCCAGCCGGAAAAGGTGGGAGTGAGCCCGGCCCTCCCAGAGCAGGTTCCAGCTCTCCCTGCAGTCCATTGCCATCAGTGTCATTCCGGTCAATGGAAACTGGATCCCCTGAAAAAATCTCGTGGGAGGTTTTCTTACGTTTTTCCATCTTGCTGTCAGTTATAAACACGATGGACACCTGAACTGCTGAGCCAACAGAGGTTTTGCAAAGTTCTGTGCTGTCAATATTCTCTGTTGTCCGGAACAGCACCAGGACTTTTACCTTAAGGGTTTTCAAACTGCGTTCTTCAGTGGGAAAGCTTTTCCCAGGCTCACTCAGTGTCATTCGCTGCTCCCCCTGTGATGCATCATATCTTAGATTAAATCTGCTCCCATTCATTTTAAAGAGACTATTACTCAAATAAAGGATTATATAAAGGTTAAAGCCTCACTGATAGTGACCATAGCGAGCAGGGGCTAGCACAGCCTGGACCGGAGTAAAAATACAGAACAATGTAAGACTGGGGGGACGGGGGATGTAAGTAAAGGGCCTATGATTTGAAATTAAAAAGTTAAATAATAAAATTAGCAGCAACAAAAGAAGTTTTACTGCCACCCATCACCACCTTCTTCCATTTATGAACCATACCTGTCTAAACTCACTGTTCATCCATTTAGTGTGTTCACATGGACTCAACTGAAAGTGTCAAACAAAAGGAAGTTAACCAATTTTCATGTAGGTTATTTGTATCTAGGTCCCAGAGTTGATGGTATAATTTATTAAGTATCTCACCCTGTATAGTGACATTTTCACTAATTAATATGGAGCCAGCTATACACACTGCATATGTACAGGTATTTTCATAAGGCATATAATATCTTTGCATTGAAAATAAATGAACATTATTAAATTTAATTTAATATATACTTTCTTCGAGGTGTTTATGAAAATATTTTTTCTCTATATTTTGTATGTGACATGATAGAAATATTTCATGGGAAGTACAGGTTAATATATTTTATCTTTATAAAGGCATATACAACTTTGAGGCAGTGTTTCTGATGGACAGCAGAATTCCTAAAGAATTTGTATGTGCTTCTGTGTTTTGAAATCATATGAAATTGACTTTAAGAAGTAACTTGATTAAAAAAACGCACCAATGCACAGCCAGAGGCTGACAATTAAAACTAATACATAGCCACATGAACAATATATTTATATAGTTAATATATTTTTTTCAAGATGATTGGTACTAACATATAGTATTATACATTTGGCACTACTGTTTGCCATTGGTCCAGCAATTGGCAAAAAATTTGTTTCCTATGTATAAATCTGTTTGAACATTAGATCTGGCTAGACATATTTACTATTTATAAAAAAATATTTAGACAGTAAGCTCACGTTGAATAACTAGGTCTACTGTATTCTGGAAACTCTTCAGTAGTAATACAGCTTTCTCATGTTCCATATGTACAAAACTGTGTCCATTTGCCTGTAACACAAAAACAAGGAGAAATCCAATGAGATTCTATTTACTGCTTTCATTCTGGGGGAGCAAAGGGATATATGAAAATTAAGAACAAGGCTAAAATAAATAATAATCATATAACGATTTCCCGCAAACAGGAGTTTGACCATACCACTGAGAGAACACGTCTCTCTTCCTCCGTTGGACAGATACTGCACCCCCCTGCTTCGAGCCGGGGCTGGACTAGATGACCTCCGGGGCTCCTTTCCAACCTAAATTATTCTGTGACTCTATGATATTCCGCATATTTTCTGAAGAAACAATAACTCTGGGATGTAAGAGTTTCAAACACTGTGAAGCCCAAGGAGCGTTAAAGCTGCCAGAATGCATCGCTGACTACAAAGGAGGCTCCGGCTCAGATCAGATGCAGACATACTGCATATACAAAAGGGAAAAATTTACTGAATAAACTGTTCTGCTTTAGTGCTCATTAAGTCTTTCTATAACTTGTCTGTTACAACGCTGTTTAAAACAGTCAAACTTTAAACACAATTACCAACAGTTTACGGAATGCGATCAATAAGCCAAAGTAGAAGATCCACCATTCTACAGAATAAAGCCAGCCCGTGAAGGTGATCAGGTACTGAACAAAGATAACGCGCGCTGCAGACACCTGCCATTTAGCCATCCATGACAGCCTCAGGACTACTCCCTGAGTGCCAGGTAAGTCCTCAGACTCCTGTGGCCCTACTGCAGGGCTTGCACACAGCTGGGTAGCTGCTCAGCTGGTTCAAAGCTCCCCCTTCCCTCCCCAAAGACATCAGCAGAAACCTCCACTGTCCTTTACCCATGGAGCCCATTGCTAAAGGCAGAGCGAGACCGCGTCTGGGAATGTGCAGGTATACAGCTGGGACAGGTGCTATGCAGTGGTTATGGAGGCTGCCACGGCTGAGAAGGGAACCGAGAGACAGGCTATAGGGCTCTCCGTGGCAGAATCTGGTCTCTCTAGCTTACAGCAATTCTATAAACACACAGCACTTTAACTATATATATATATTTTTTTTTTTAACTAACATTTAAAAATACGTTAGTGAAGCCTTCATGCTTTGGTTAATAAACTACCACTGCTGTGAAATTACAGCCCTGTAGAACTACCAGACATCTGTTGCACATATCCAGACCATCATACATTGATATCTTCTTGGCCACAACAAAACCATACTACGCCACATTATATACGGAAGACAGACTTCGAGAGCCACCCCTTACCAGCAATCAGCATGTCTGAGGTATTGGACAAGCAGCACAAAGTGGCTGCCTGAGTCCCCCAGGGTGCTCACATCTCCCCAGCTCACCCATGCCCGCTGCCGGTCACCTCCTCGCAGAAGTTATGATCCTCCCCCCTGGACCAGGTGCTTGCTGAAAGGATGCCCCATGCCTTCTCACTGTATTAAAGGATGCCCAGCCCAGAATGATAATTAAAAGAAGTGCTGCGCACACAACTCTACAGGAACAGGAAGCCCATGAGTGTGGTGGTGCTTTTTTGGCACTTAAAGGTTTCTGTTCAAAGGTATCAGCTGCTGCGAGCTCTAGCACTGACAAGTGCACCGGAATGGCAACGGCAGGCACAGAGCACAGAGAAAAGGCAGCATCCGAGCAATAGTGAAAAGTAGTTCACTTCTATTCTGCTTAATACAATAAAATAAAATGTATTTGCTCTGAGAAACAGGAATACAAATTTCAGGCAGGTAAAGCTTCAAAGACATTCACTTATGTGCCAAAATTAGGCAGCGATTTGGGATTCAGTTTGAGGTCAGCTCGGACTCTGACGTAATTCAGAGGCAAACTGAAGAAGTTCCAGTTTATTCACCACACAGCTTACTGGGATCTGTATTGCTCATCTGGAAAAAAAAATAATAAAAGAACCTGCAAACAAACCTGAGAGCAGGCCAGCTCTGTCTACTCATTTTCAAGCGGTGCAGTGAGGGGTACAGGAAAATGAGCAGGTTCAGCTCTAGCTAGCGGAGAAACCTCTTTTCTACAAGAAAAGTTTCTCAGTGGAAGAGGGCTGTAGGAGATACACATCCAAAAATACCTAAGCAAGCCACACCCAGAGGGCTTTGTTATTTAACATATAAATAAATGATAATCGGAATCTACTTCTTTCATTCCTG